GGGTTTCACTGTGTGGAAGAAAAACTTGTTTTAATTTTATTTTTTTATTTAAAAGTCTTCTTGTTAATGGAGATGCAAAGATGTAGATGTCATTTGCACATTCCGGTTCTCAATAGGACCAGAAGAGCTGCTCCTTGAAGCTGTTCAGCTTACTAATTTAACAACCAGCAGCCACAAACAAGCCCAAAAGTATGTCCCCTCAAAATAATCTGTTTTCAAACCAGAGGGTACACAGCAAAGTGAAAAATCTGAAGTCTGTATGAAATTAGGATGAGATTTTTTCATGCTTTTGTAGGATGAAAAATGGAAGGTTGCATTATACGTGAAGCACATTATACACGTATATATGGGGCATATCTCACTACGCTATTTTGTGACTCAGTTCTCGGTTCAGAGTGAGGGGTCACACATTTTAAGATCTCTTTTTAGTTTGTTCAAAAACTGTGTTCATTTAAAATGCTTCTTTGTTTTACTTCTTGTGTGCGACATCCATTTGTCTTTCCTTCCCCCTCTGAAATGATACACTTTATTTACTTGCTGATAAATTGTTTACCATTATATGGGGCTGTAAAATTCTGTAGTGGCAACCCCCTTCAAAGAACAAATTGGTGATTTGGAGTTCCAATTAATATCGTTTTATCACCTCACCTTCTCCCTGCACTGGAAACTCGTACTTAGTGACAGAAATGATATTGCTGTTGTAATTCACCAAAAGACTCATCCAATTCAATTACTGCCATTTTCAGACCATGGCCACGCACGACAAGATGCTTAAAGGGTTTATAGGAAAACATTACACCGTTTACATCATGGCTGCGGATCAATGGCTTCAATTTTTCTCCCATTTGGCATCCAGAGACAGTGAGCAGCTGCCTGATTCGCATGTCGTAATCCCACGTAAAAATGAAATGTTGCTGTAATACTCTCTCAGTCACGGTGACTTATGCCTGGAAGTCCCCCCCCCCAACTCCCACTCTCTCGTCACCTCCATGATTCCACACACCCTCGAGAAAGTCGTCTCCTGCCCTGTCCGTTAACCTAACTCTTGTGCTCTCTGCAGGCTTGCACCAATTTCAACGACAGCGGAGCATGTGTGACCCAGTGCCCTCAGCCGTTTGTGTACAACCCCACATCTTTCCAGTTAGAACACAACCCCAAAGCAAAGTACACCTACGGAGCCTTCTGTGTCAAGAAATGTCCCCGTAAGTCTGAGGAAATGGAACAGTTTTGCTGTTAAAGGGATCCCTGATTAGTTGTAACATTACACTTTATTTGATAAACATTTATTATAACTGTAAAATAAAGACTGTAAAAATACTGTAGGCTGTTTAGTTTAGTAAATTTTTAATATATATATTTTAACACGGACGGAGCCATTTTATTTACACACAAAGCATTCTGGGTAAATGATGATGTGGATAGGTCCTCGGTGCGAAGCTGTTAGCGAGCTATATCCACCCTGAAGGTTAATCTTGGACAATATCTGACGATCAACTCTTAAATGAAACCAGAGAGCGTTGACAGATAGGAGAAGGTAGAAATGACTCAACCTGTAACTGAAAATATGGATGGAGGACAACAGAGCTGCTTCATGGAAGAAGAACCTCAGCCTAGCCTGTTAGCCTTTGCACTAGCGTCAACGCTATATTGCATTATATGTATTAGCTTGGTGCTAGCGCGATAAACAAGCTAAACTGAGGTCCTCCATCCAYATTTTCAGTCGCAGGCTGAGTCATTTTTGTGTTCCCCTCTCTGTCATGTGGATGGAGGACCTCAGTGATGAGAGGAGAGTGTGTAGCGCTGAGCTAATACATATAGCCTATATGATGATAGCGTTGGAGCTAACGCTAAAGCTAACAGGCTAAGCTARGGTTCTTCTTCCATGAAGCAGCTCTGTTGTCCTCCATCCATATTTTCAGTTACAGGCTGAGTCATTTCTACCTTCTCCTCTCTGTCAACGCTCTCTGGTTTCATTTAAAAGAGTCRATCATCAGATATTGTCCAACATTAACCTTCAGGGTGGATATAGCTCGCTCACACCGAGGACCTATCCACATCATCATTTACCCAGAATGCTTTCAGTGTAAATAAAATGGCCTCGTCCGTGCAATATATTTTAAAACTTTTAGTTTAAAAATTATGAAAACTAAACAGCCTACAGTATTTTCACAGTCTTTATTTTACAGTTAAAATATACGTATGTTTATTAAATAAAGTCTAATGTTACAACTAATCATGGATCCCTTCAAACACGAAACATGAAGTAGATACTCATAAGGATGCTAATTAAGGTTCATCGAAGAAGCATTTATCCTCTAATCTATCCTGAAATGAGACCTCAGACAATTATTTCAAGACATGATAAATGGCTCCAACCTAAACAAATTGTGTATCTCAATCAGCTTTGTTGCTAGACCATCTGCTTCAACTTCTGGCAGCTGAAAAAACAAAACAAATCTTAGCTCTTGCTTTCACAGTTATGGAGTAGGAGTGCGGCTGTAATTAACAGAGCGTGCAATAAGCTAGATCAACAGATTGCACATTCAGTATCATCAGATAAGCAAGTTGTTGTCCAAAGCAGCTAGAAAATCCAAATTCATTCACTCGCTTTTGTAGCAACAGCTTTCGGTTGTTACTTTGTACAAATGTAATTAAATTATAATAATTTTCTACTATCAGCACAGCCCTTCTGGAATTTTTTTTTTTTTTTTTGTGAATTAATGCTGCATTTAAAATACTGCTTTTGTACACTGGCAGTTCTCTGAAACATGAGCATTAACTATAACTAGTGAATATTTTTAAATGCTTTTGTTTTTGGCAGACAATTTCGTGGTGGACCACAGCTCCTGTGTCCGAGCATGTCCCAGCAACAAGATGGAAGTTGAGGAGAACCGAATCAAAATGTGCATCCCTTGCACTGACATCTGCCCAAAAGGTCAACCATGTGATGTTCTTTCATGATAACAATATAGTCTGTGAAAATTAGACTGAGTAGTACGAGAAAATAATGTGATAAGATTGACCCTGAATTGTTATATTCCATATTGGCCATCTCTTGGTCTGGAGTCTATGTTGTCTATAATTTCTATATCTTTCTCCTCTTAAGTGTCTTTCATGTCCATCCATCCATCCATCCATCCATCCATCCATCCATCCATCCATCCATCCATCCATCTTCTTCCGCCTATCCGGGG